GGCACCTAAAGACTCTCAGACCATGAGAAACAAGATTCTCTGGTCTGATGAAACCAAGATTGAACTCTTTGGCCTGAATGCCAAGCGCCACGTCTGGAGAAAACCTGGCACCATTACTACGGTGAAACATGGTGGTAGCAGCATCATGCTGTGGGGATGTTTTTCAGCGGCAGGGACTGGGAGACTAGTCAGGATCGAGGCAAAGATGAACGGAGCAAAGTACAGAGAGATCCTTGATGAAAACTTGCTCCAGAGCGCTCAGGACCTCAGACTTGGGCGAAGGACAAGTCTCTGAATGTCCTTGAGTGGCCCAGCCAGAGCCCGGACTTGAACCCGATCTAACATCTTTGGAGAGACCTGAAAATAGCTATGCAGCAATGCTCCCCATCCAACCTGACAGAGCTTGAGAGGATCTGCAGAGAAGAATGGGAAGAAACTCCCCAAATACAGGTGCGCCAAGCTTGTAGCACCATACCCAAGAAGACCCGAGGCTGTAATCGCTGCCAAAGGTGCTTCAACAAAGTACTGAGTAAACTGGTCTGAATACTTATGTAAATGTGATATTTCAATTTTTTTTTTTTTTTTTTTATAAATTAGCAAACATTTCTAAAAACCTGTTTTTGCTTTGTCATTATGGGGTATTGTGTGTAGATTGATGAGGGGAAAAAACTATTTAAATCAATTTTAGAATAAGGCTGTAACCTAACAAAATGTGGAAAAAGTTAAGGGGTCTGAATACTTTCCGAAGGCACTGTATGCACTGTATACATACACTACCTCAATTACCTCGACTAACCTGTGCCCCCGCACATTGACTCTGTACCGGTACCCCCTGTATATAGCCTCCCTACTGTTATTTTACTGCTGCTCTTTCATTATTTTTATTTTTTACTTATCTATTTGTTACTTAACACTTATTTTTCTTAAAACTGCATTGTTGGTTAAGGGCTTGTAAGTAAGCATTTCACTGTAAGGTCTACACCTGTTGTATTTGGCGCATGTGAGAAATACAATTTGATTGTATTTTATTTTATTGAAACCATGTTGGCCTCAGCAGACTTAATTTGAAAAGATGATGACAGTGCAAATATGCCAATTTTAAAATAGAGACATATAAACCCCGGTATCGATGTTTGTGCAAAGTAAAGTCATGTGTCTGTATGTTTCTCTTTGATGTTATAACTGGCACCAGTGAGATATCAAAACATGTAAATTAACTTTTATATTGATTACTTTATGACAGTATACATTTTTCATATAATGAGAAGTTAGTCCAATGTTTTCCTGAAAATCTTTTTGGAAAAGCTCAGTGGATTTTTTCTGGTCAGCCAATCAGCTCAAACGATGCATTTAGCCAAGAGGTGGAGTGTCCACTATGAGATGAAATTAGTTATTTGCTCAACCTCTTAAAAAGAGGTCCAGGAGGTATCCTTATCTCCCCAACAGAACTGGCAATCAGGGTCTGGCAAAGATTAGTCAACTGAGCCACAAAATGTATGTGTCCCAAATGGCACCCTATTCCATTTTAGTGTATTACTTTTGACCAGGACCCATAAAGTAGTGCACTAAATAGGGAATACTGTGCCATTTTGGATATAACCATGGCCTTTCTACTCTCCATGTGTCTGAACTGAATGAGAATGGCATCCAAGTCGATGTCTACAGGTTCAACAAAAAAACAACTGCTGCGATTATTTGTATTGGTTTGTAAGAAGTGAGGCAGCAAAATGATAAGTCAAACTGGCATTGAACTGTACACTGAAATACAGGTGTAAGATCTTCATTTGATCACTTTCGTTGCTGAGAATTTTCCTGTGCAGATGAGCTTCGTGATTTACATAAATTCACTGAAAACCCACACTAAGACATGGTTATATTAACAGTATTGCACTTTCATGTTGCCTACTTTTGGCCAGCTAATAGCCTAACTCCGATCAAGCAACATTGTGGACTAAACCAGGGTGCCCAACTGGCAGCCAAATTCGGCCCGTTTTCTGAGCAAGGAAGGAAATCAGCTCCAAGTGATTTTAATTTATGAAATCTGTTCTCAAGTATTCCCACGCATAATAGGGAGACACGTGATGGTATACCAATGTAAGCAAGGTTGAAAATGACTGTTTTAGTCAAATATTATATATATTTTGGCTTCTTGCAGTCAATTTGCAGTCTACAAATTATTTGTAATTATGTTCCAGCCCCCCGAGCATCCGCTCAAGAAAAGAATTGTCCTGCGGCTGAATATATTTGATGATCCCTGGACTAAACCTTAAAATCCTGTTGCTGCAGGATTCTTTTGCTGTGACAATATAGGTAAAATTAAGATCCTACATCTGTAGGTAGTGATAGGTAAGTGTTTTCATAGTGTGAATAAGACAAAGACGTGATGCTATCATCATGAACCAGTACAGTCACCAGTACTACAGAGGGTTCTCCCACTCTAAGCAGATTTTTTTATTTTATTTGTATAAAATACCTTCTTCTTGGACTATGGTATTGTCCATTATTCATCCAGGGTCCTATCCTCAGAATATTCCCCTGTAGTCCCACAGTGACGTTTAACACATTACTGGTGCAGCAGTGCTGTGGGATGGTCTGGGTTGTTACATTACTGGTGCAGCAGTGCTGTGGGATGGTCTGGGTTGTTACATTACTGGTGCAGCAGTGCTGTGGGATGGTCTGGGTTGTTACATTACTGGTGCAGCAGTGCTGTGGGATGGTCTGGGTTGTTACATTACTGGTGCAGCAGTGCTGTGGGATGGTCTGGGTTGTTACATTACTGGTGCAGCAGTGCTGTGGGATGGTCTGGGTTGTTACATTACTGGTGCAGCAGTGCTGTGGGATGGTCTGGGTTGTTACATTACTGGTGCAGCAGTGCTGTGGGATGGTCTGGGCTGTGGACGCTGAACCCAGAGACACCAATTTCACTGGGATTTACCTGCTGCCTCACCACCACCTAGCAGCATTATTAACTGACTTGATAGAAGAGAATGCTTACTTAAAAGAAGCACCAGTTTGTCAGTTTGAAAGCCAAAGATGCTAGATAGAACACTAGCCTGAATTATAAAGAATGTGAGGGTTAGCATGAAGACTAGATACAACCAGTAATATTACAAGCTGACAGTAGCCTAGGCATTTAGCTCATCCCCATTCTAGGTGGATTACATGTGCATTAGCAAGATGTGCATTAGACTGTGCCTTTAGATTGAATTTAGGTTAATCTGACTATACCCTCACAGGAAACAAGGCCGAAGCTGTATAAGCTATCTGTAAGAGTTTAAGCTTAATGCTGTTAAATACAGTATACAATATTGAATACACTAAATACAGTACGGTGAACGCAAGACAAACAGTCATATTTCTAATGAAACATTTCCCTGCTGCGTAATACAATACCTCAAAGACACTGTACTCTGGAAGGTAAGTAAGGTCCCTTACCATCTTGAAGTAGAGGCATATCAGTCGTTCTTCACCATAACTTGTTTGTGGAAGGAAGTAAGTTTGATTTGAAGTTGCAGCTTTCCTCCACCTGTCAAACATCTAGGCCTACCACTATCTCAGATATCTCTGGAGACAGGATCCCCTATTATTATCATCTTGTGACAGTCCCCTCGTTGTTATATATAGTTATAGCTATGAGGCTGAGTTGACATATTTCTTTCTCCCATGCATTGCCTTCTCAACCTAATGAAATGACACTATTTGTCCTACTGTAGGGCACTGTTTACACTTTTCATAATTTATCATCACACGATCACAGCTCCCCAAACCCGAGGCTTCATTGGCGAATCACATTATGTACATTACATGTTAAGGGTAAAATCTTCTATCACATCATCATATTCCAGTTTGATTCATTTAAAACTCCAGAGGCAAACTTGGTTAATCCCGTCATTGTTAATGAAGCATGTTTAATATAATAATGAAATTAAGCATGGCAAGGAAAGTGAAAAGCGCCCGCTTCCCATCCAATGTGTGAGGCCTGACAGCTTTGGATAATCTCATTTGCTAAGCATAATTTAAAATGTTTTGTGTGAATTTCTCTAATGCGTACTGTCTTTCCTCAAGGGCAAGAACATGCTGAACTTCTTGGATAGTTTATAGCTGATGGTAGCTACAGCAGTCACCAATGCTGTCCATCTAAAGAAGTGAAAAGAATTTGAGAACATTCCAGATTCAATATTATAATACACATCAATATAATACATGTACGTACAATATATATACAGTGGACAATGGACCTCTTTTTTTTTTTTACTTTAAAATTCATTGCTTTGAACTATAGGTCACTAAGGTGACCCACAATTGTCTTCAGCATGCTATGCTTCCTTCTATCTGGTAAGATAATACAACTGCTCAAAAGAATTGTGAATAGATTGACAGTTCGTCTATTAGCAGAAAATCATTGATAAAACATATAAATAAACTACTTGGCTGTCCATACACTCTGTAAACATTTAGGAGACAACTAGGCTACATAAAACTAGTTCGATTTGCTGATTTGTCTTAATGGATTCCATTAAATGGGACGCAGCCCCTGTGTGAAATCCTCTGGTCTTATCAGCCTCACCTTTCAATTACTCCAGTTGGCTCTAAACCGTTGTTTATTTTCTCTCAATCCCTTCAGCCAGCATCATTCTAATGGACATTCAGATTTACACATTAGGTTTGCATTATTATCATAAAAGTGTTTACTTCTTTTCCATTTCATTACTTTCATTGTATTTTTTCTGGAAGTAATATTTTGTCTCTGAATATATAGAGCTCAATATAGATCATACAGTAGATGTATTTCATATGTAGATTATATGAATCTATATCTAACCCTCTTCCATCATGGCACAAAATATTTTGGAGATGACATAATGGTGACGTAATATACTGTTATGTGGGTTAACATATCTGGGGTTTTGTCATGTTTTGTGTGGATTCCCCAGTAACTGTCTGTCTCTGTTGTTGTGTTTCAGAGAGAACCAGTATGTTGTCATCCTTCATCGGCCCCAATGAAGTTTAGAGATACTGGGACAACAACATCAAGAGACCATGGAGACACTTCAAGTAATTTATGTATATATTTCCCTTTCCATGCTATTCACTCAGTAGCACACCAGCAATTTATCAGTTTATACTTTCAATTTACACCTTTTGCTAAGTTCTCCCATGTGTTGTAGTTTCCTTTTCTTGAAAATCTCATCAACAAAATGTGAAATGTCATTAAAGTTTCCTCAACTATGTTTGTTCTGGTCTTGATTGAGGAACAGGTACCAGTAGCGTTGAGGTGAAGGAGAACCGCGACAGCAGAAACCAAGTGGACTATTCCAACATACTACAACCTGGATATCATCCATCATCAGCTCTTTGCACTGACATCTCCAAAAGAAAGACGACAGTGGACTGTACCATGCTACCTGCACATCATCCATCAGCTCTTTACACTGACATCTCCAGAGGGCTCTCCAGGACTACTGCTCTACAGAGGAAGCAGCCATTGGTGGAAGGAAAAGACAGGCTTCTCTACGAGCTCCAGTTGATCTGTAAGAGGACGGCCCATTGTCTTACGTCAGATAACGCGATGACTCCGTCTGCACGGTCGGTTGGGGGACGAGCATCGTGTGGGAGTGACGCCACCTGTCAGAAGACAATGATGACTTCCTGGTCTGTCACAAAGAAGAACGCCCTGGTGCAGTTGAATGAGCTGAGACCAGGTCTACAGTATGAGATAGTGTCTCAGACAGGGCCAGTTCACGCCCCTTGTGTTCGCTGTAGGAGTAGAGGTGAACGGTCTCAGGTTCGAGGGCCGAGGCCCCACCAAGAAGAAGGCTAAGATGAGGGCAGCAGAGCTGGCTCTTAGGTCCTTCATCCAGTTCCCCAACGCCCCTCAGGCTCACATCACCATGGGAAACCTCAACTTCATCAACACCACAGCACCAACAGACTTCACCTCAGATCAGGCCGATCTCGTCCCCGACACGCTCTTCAAGGAGTTTGAGCCAGAAGTACAGGAAGACCAAATCCTTTATCACAGAACAGGGGGAAAGGAGTTGCAGTTTGAGGAGCCACCAGCCCAAGGACAACTCCACAGGACAGTGGAAAAGGGACAGGAGTTGCTCTCCAGTATCTGTAACCATGGGAGACTAGTGCGCCTGACTCTTGACCTGATGTCCTCAGCCAATCAGAAGAGACAGAGGATCGGTTCCTCTATCGTCAGGGAACTGAGGCCCGTGGCTCTGCTCAATGAGTTAAGGCCAGGCCTGAGGTACGTCTGCCTGACAGAGAACGTGAGAGGCAGGCCGATCAGGAGCTTTGTGATGGCAGTACGGGTGGATGGAAGGGTATTTGAGGGCTGTGGGCGCAGTCAGAGGCTGGCTAAAGCCCAGGCAGCAGCCTCAGCCCTACAGGACCTGTTTAACATCAGTCTGGGGCCTGAGAGGAGCATCAGCAATACTGCCAGCTGGGCCAAGAGCTCACAGCTACCTCAGGTGAGTACCATTACTAACTTAAAGGGATACTTCGGGATTTTGGCAATGAGGCCCTTTATCTACTTCCCCAGAGTCAGATTAACTAGTAGATACCAATAGACTTCCTGTCATTACGCTAACACTAGTTAACATTGGCTCGCAAAACGACCTCTAACTTCCTTCATAATGGAAGCAGAGACATACAAATGATATCCACAAGTTCATCTGACTCTGGGGTAGTAGATAAAGGGCCTCATTGCCAAAATCCCGAAGTATCCCTTTAAGGGTTCTGAGCTGGAAGGGAAATTCTACAATTCTGTGTTGCTATGGAGAGATAGAATTGTTCATCTCAAGCCATTTTGGAATCGGTGTCAAGCCTGTCTATTACATTTTGACTGATATTCAGTCTTTTCTAAAACAAAGATAATGTTGAGATGCAGTGTTTCAATTTGCTGTAAGTTGGATATAACAATCACAATGCATTACATTTTTTATTCCTCTATTTCATTCACATCCTCATTGAAGTGCCCAGGTTGAACAGGGTTATTGAACATGTCCTGTCCTTTGTCTCTATAGCTGCAGCATGGGCATACATCCCATCCTTTAAATGGTCCTACTGAATTTGTATGAGGTGCGCTGACCTCCACCAAATGGAGTGTATCGTATCAATATGCCTTCCATGTCCAGGAGCCTAAGGACTAACGCTGTCCTGGCCTGCATGCCAAACCACAGCAGCTAAATAACCCTGTTATGGCTGTCTGGCCTCAGAAAAGCTGCACCTCTTGTCATCTTTAGCTGCTATGCCCACATAAAAAAATACTATGTTATAAATACTATAGTTTTCACCATAGTGTTTTTGCAGACTTTACTGTAGTATTCACTGTAGTGTTTTTGCGGCCTGAAATCCACAGAAACACTACAGTGAATACTGTAATATTTACTGTAGTATTTACAGTTAACTATAGTATAAATACTGTCGTAAAAGAACTGTAGTATATACTAAAGTAATTAATGTAGTGTTTCTGCATATTGTAGTCTATTGTAGTGTTTTTGCTGACTGTAAAATACTGTAGTATTTAATGTAGTGTTTTTACAGACATTACTGTAGTATCTACTATAGTGTTTTTTAAATTATCTTAGACATAGAAGTGGAGGCTTTCTCCTTGAGGATACAAAAATAGCAACATTTTTGCAGACTAGTGTTTTTGCAGACATTACTGTAGTATTTACTACAGTGTTTTCTTTAGCGGATAATACTGTAGTATTTACTGTAGTATTATACTACTACAACAATCTGTAGTACAGTGAGGAAAAAAAGTATTTGATCCCCTGCTGATTTTGTACGTTTGCCCACTGACAAAGAAATGATCAGTCTATAATTTTAATGGTAGGTTTATTTGAACAGTGAGAGACAGAATAACAACAAAAAAATCCAGAAAAACGCATGTCAACATTTTTATAAATGGATTTGCATTTTAATGAGGGAAATAAGTATTTGACCCCTCTGCAAAACATGACTTAGTACTTGGTGGCAAAACCCTTGTTGGCAATCACAGAGGTCAGACGTTTCTTGTAGTTGGCCACCAGGTTTGCACACATTTCAGGAGGGATTTTGTCCCACTCCTCTTTGCAGATCTTCTCCAAGTCATTAAGGTTTCGAGGCTGACGTATGGCAACTCGAACCTTCAGCTCCCTCCACAGATTTTCTATGGGATTAAGGTCTGGAGACTGGCTAGGCCACTCCAGGACCTTAATGTGCCTCTTCTTGAGCCACTCCTTTGTTGCCTTGGCCGTGTGTTTTGGGTCATTGTCATGCTGGAATACCCATCCACGACCCATTTTCAATGCCCTGGCTGAGGGAAGGAGGTTCTCACCCAAGATTTGACGGTACAAGGCCCCGGCCATCGTCCCTTTGATGCGGTGAAGTTGTCCTGTCCCCTTAGCAGAAAAACACCCCCAAAGCATAATGTTTCCACCTCGGTGGGGATGGTGTTCTTAGGGTCATAGGCAGCATTCCTCCTCCTCCAAACACAGCGAGTTGAGTTGATGCCAAAGAGCTCCATTTTGGTCTCATCTGACCACAACACTTTCACCCAGTTCTCCTCTGAATCATTCAGATGTTCATTGGCAAACTTCAGACAGGCCTGTATATGTGCTTTCTTGAGCAGGGGGACCTTGCGGGCGCTGCAGGATTTCAGTCCTTCACGGCGTAATGTGTTACCAATTGTTTTCTTGGTGACTATGGTCCCAGCTGCCTTGAGATCATTGACAAGATCCTCCCGTGTAGTTCTGGGCTGATTCCTCACCGTTCTCATGATCATTGCAACTCCACGAGGTGAGATCTTGCATGGAGACCCAGGCCGAGGGAGATTGACAGTTCTTTTGTGTTTCTTCCATTTGCGAATAATCGCACCAACTGTTGTCACCTTCTCACCAAGCTGCTTGGCGATGGTCTTGTAGCCCATTCCAGCCTTGTGTAGGTCTACAATCTTGTCCCTGACATCCTTGGAGAGCTCTTTGGTCTTGGCCATGGTGGAGAGTTTGGAATCTGATTGATTGATTGCTTCTGTGGACAGGTGTCTTTTATACAGGTAACAAACTGAAATTAGGAGCACTCCCTTTAAGAGTGTGCTCCTAATCTCAGCTCGTTACCTGTATAAAAGACACCTGGGAGCCAGAAATCTTTCGGATTGAGAGGGGGTCAAATACTTATTTCCCTCATTAAAATGGAAATCAATGTCTAAAAATTTTTTACATGCGTTTTTCTGGATTTTTTTGTTGTTATTCTGTCTCTCACTGTTCAAATAAACCTACCATTAAAATGATAGACTGATCATTTCTTTGTCAGTGGGCAAACGTACAAAATCAGCAGGGGATCAAATACTTTTTTCCCTCACTGTAAGTACTACACATGATCGAGGGATACTTCAGTGTGTACTATAGAATTCTACAGTATACTACAATTTATTACAGAATGACATAGTAAGTAGTGTAGTATTCTATAGTAAACTGTAGTATTTACTCATGTGGGTGCTTTCAGAATGTAAGAGGATTTGTTCCACAAGTTTAGTTCCATGAGTCTGACATGTCATTGGAAAGGCAGGCAGGCTTTACCATCCATGGCTGATGGAGAGTTTGTCCACAAGACATAGGGTCTTGGTTGGTTACTAGCAGACAGACTGGCACTATCTCAAATAGTCTTTCCTTGATTCCTTGCATCCTATCTCCTCATCTTTTTCTCAAATTTATTGGAGGAGAATATCTAAAATTCCTCCCTTCTGAACTTCTTCTCCAATTTGAGGAGGTGAGGAGAGAGAATCTAAGGAATCGAGGAAAAATGAATGAAGAAATGGACACATTCTGGGTAATTCATCAGACAGATCCCTATCCCTCTCTCCACAAAGTGTCTCAGAGTCAGGCATCTAGCTAGACACCTTAATGAACAGTATCATCACAGCCTATTAGTGATCAAGGAGGAGCCCCAGACTGAAGGAGATTGAAATTAAGAGCGGAGGAGGTGTGAAGAGCATATTAATCTGACAGATAATTATTTAACACGCTCATTACGAATCATTACACATGACCTTGTGCCATCACCATTTAGACAACATATTTTTTCAGTTCCTTTCATCTCTCCAAGCTTGATATCAGGGGATGGGTGGGATGATAACTTGAATTATGCATTGTATGTATTATGTAAATTAAGTGGAGGAGTTACCCTATTAAATATTTTTGTTAATTAACTAGCTACTAAATATTGTCAATATCTCATTATTCCAAGATATACTTACAATATAATGCTCATTTAATACTGTATGTCTCAGGGAGAGTTGACAAAGAAGAAACCTCTGTCAGATTTATTGAAAGCACTGTCACAGGGTGCGTCCTAAATGGTACCCTATTCCCTGGTACCCTATTCCCTATATAATGCACTACTTTTGACCAAAGCCCATATGGGATAATGTCAACTATTATCTGGTTGTTTTGGTAGGTAAATGTTTGTTTGCGCTGCTATCTTTTTATGTGGATGTGAACATAGCTGTTATCTTGGCCGCTGTCTGTTTGATTTGTCAGTGATCCATCCACTTGTGTGATAACAGTGCTTTGCAGAGTATATCTTCCACTTGGTGAGAGAGAAATACAGTGAGCTGGCTGACTGTTGCTGCACTACCTCCCAGTCGCACAGACGTCACAAAGTACTGGCAGGCATCGTAATGACTAGAGGTAGGCTATGGCTATGGGCTGCGTCCAAATGGCACCCTATTCCATATATTTACATAGTGCACTACTTTTAACTATGGGCTCTGGTCAAAAGTAGTGCACTATGTAGGAAATAGGGTGCCATTTGGGATGCAAACCATGATGACACATTTCATTGACTTTTAAAATATTTAACAAGTCCATTTTAAAAATAAATGGTGCATCTCCCACTATGCAACTGTAGATATCAGCAGAAGTCGTAAATTAATCAAATGCCTCTGAATATAGGTCTGTATAGAGAACAGTAAGCCAGTCGACTGGGAGTGCACACAAGTGACTTCAGTTGAAGCCAGCATGGGAAACTCTCATTCAAAAACAGTAGAGCTCCTTGGATCTAAGAGAATACCTAAGATGAGAAAGTGGGCACAAACATAGAATTAGAATGAATGACTTTCTATTCATTTTATTTCTATGGGCACAGTGCTTCCCAGGTAATGCCGCCCCAAAGGGCAGTGAAAGATCATTCATATAGAATACCTCACAAGAAAAGAAGCAGTTGCTCTGCAACACAAGATGCAGCTTTATACCACTACCATTGATGAGATAAGACTGTCATTACGTCTTTGTAAATATTTCATGAGGTGCTTTAACAAGACAACAACATAGTAGGAGACTGGTGCAATATATTCTGTCCTGTTAGAGTAATTTTTATTCAGAATACATTTATTTTATTTTGCCATCTTAGTCTATTACAGGAATAATTTAATTAGATGAAGTTCTTTGTAGAGAGAGTTCCTGTGTCTGAGGCCAAATTACTGTAACTGATATCCAAAAAAACAAGAGTTGGGATGCATCCCAAATGTCACCCTATTCTATTCCCTATGTAGTGCACTACTTTTGGCCAGGCCCCATAGGGTCCAAATAAGTAAAACAAAAAAACAGTGCACTATATAGGGAATAGGGTCTCATTTGGATACTCCCAAATCTATTTTGTAGGTGTACTGTGCTGATTTGTGTTTGTTGTTGGTTAGTAAGAGGACCTTTTGTCTCCTATTGTGGTCAGGTTTTGATCTGAGGCGAGCCCAGGTGGTGTCTCTGGGGACAGGGACCAAGTGTATCAGTGGAGAGTTTGTCAGTGACCAGGGACGGGCGGTTAATGACTGCCATGCTGAGGTCACCACCAGGAGGGCTTTCCTCCGCTTCCTCTACGCCCAACTGGAGCTCTTCCTCTGGTAATATACTGTGTATATACTGTCATACACTGTATCTGTAAACAAGGGTCTGCGTTCCAACTGGCACCCTATTCCCTATATCGTGAACTACTTTTGATTAGGGCCCTGGGCTCTGGTTAAAGATAGTGCACTATAAAGGGAATAGGGTGTAATTTGGGACACACAACAAAGCCTCAGCCCTGAGGATGAAGTTGAAGAATCTTTGCTTTTATACCTTTGAATTGAAGTTACAGGTGAACAATGTAATATCAGCTATTACCTATCTGCGCTGATGTTTTGGTGCCATTTTAAAAAGAGCCACTGTTATGTTATGCCCCTGCACCATCACTCCAAAATCACCTCTAGTACAAATCCCTTTTCATCTAAAAATATATTTATTTGGGTGATTAGGCTACACGCAGGGGTGCATGTCAGCTAAACCTAGGGTAAGACAAAGTGACAAGGGGGCTGGGGGGGTGTTCCCTGCGAGATTCCCTAGAAATACCCCACTTCAATCCAGCTGCGGCGAAGTTGCGAGTCCCGTTCCCTGCAGTAGTGTCGATGCATACTCCATATATCAAAAACAGCCTTCCCTCCCGCTCCCAGGCATCCGAATGGTCCTAAAATCAGCCCCTAATTCTGCTACACTGCATTTGCTTTTTAATCAGGATTGGAATGATTTTAGTAGCCTATTTTAAATTGCTGGTGTTGAGCTAGGCTATTATATCAAATTAAGGCCCCTGGCTACGCGTTACCACTTTTGTAAAAGTTCATACTCAAAATGATTTGAACAACATCATTTTCTTGTTTAGCAACCGGCCAGACAGTTTGGAGCAGTCGATTTTTGTGCGAGACAAAGAGTCTGGGTACAGACTGAGAGATGGTATTCTGTTCCATATGTATGTGAGTTCATCTCCCTGCGGGGACGCACGCCTCAACTGCCCCTACGAGATCACAGCTACACGTAAGAAATGTCGACATTTGATTATTGATTTTATTTAACTCATACTCACAGTCAACAAGACTGAATTATGCGGAATGCACAGTTACATTAAGACCACCTGTCTGTACTGTGCTTGGTAGAGAAACGTAGCATTATATCAGCTGTCTCCTCTCCCAGACCACAGCGGGTATAGATTTGTGAGGAAGTTGCGCTGCCATCTGAGGATGAAGATGGAAGGCGGCGAGGGTACACTTCCTGTCAGCGCACGGAGAGCCAATCAGAAATGGGACAGGGGGTTGTCGAGGGAACCTCCCGTCACCATGTCCTGCACAGATAAAATTGCCAGGTGAGCTCCAGATAGACAGTGACAACTTTTCTACTGAGTCACAAAAGTATAACATACTGTATAAAGGGGGCTTGTCTTTCCTCCTTTGTTCCAATGGGAATGTTCCAGGCTTGCATCTCAAATGACACCATTTTCCCTATATAGTGCACTACTTTTGACCAGGGCCCTAGTCCTGCTTGGTCTCTAGCCTCATTGTTTGTGTCTCCAGGTGGAATATTCTAGGTCTTCAGGGCTCTCTCCTGTCTCACCTGGTGGAGCCGGTGTACCTCCACAGCCTCACAGTGGGCAGCCTGTGCCACACGGGTCACCTGGGAAGGACCATGGCACGACGCATGGGGCACATCGCCCCTCTGCCCTCCTCCTATAGACGCAACAGGCTGCTCCTCGGCTGTAAGTCACGCCCCCTGCCCTCCTCCTATAGACACAACAGGCTCCTCCTCGGCTGTAAGTCACGCCCCCTGCCCTCCTCCTATAGACGCAACAGGCTGCTCCTCGGCTGTAAGTCACGCCCCCTGCCCTCCTCCTATAGACGCAACAGGCTGCTCCTCGGCTGTAAGTCACGCCCCCTGCCCTCCTCCTATAGACGCAACAGGCTGCTCCTCGGCTGTAAGTCACGCCCCCTGCCCTCCTCCTATAGACGCAACAGGCTCCTACTCGGCTGTATGTCGCCCAGATATAAGAGTTGAGGTTACTTCAGATAATTAGGTTCACATTACATGTCCATGAGACAGTTCATTTGGCAGTAGACTCTACTTAGTGTTAGAGACTTGACAAAGATAAATGTTAGAAGGAGGCCTGATGGAGATGTTCCTCTCATTCTCGTTCCCTATGGTGACGACTACCTGAGCGTGACTCTGTTCCAGGACAAACAGCTCGTTCTTCCAGACGCTTTTCATGGTCCTGTCTCTTCCACTAAGGTTATGCCTCTATGCTGGCTAATGATGTGGTATCTGAACAGTGCATGTTAAGTACGTACCTGCCCCTCCTCTCGGCTCTCCCTGAGTCTTGACCCCAGTCTGGTCTCTGTGTGGTCTCCAGGCCTCAGCAGCAGTGAGGGTCTGCAGCCAGGGAAGTCCCGCAACTTCAGTGTGAACTGGAGTGCTGGAGATGGGGAGCTGGAGGTGGTGGATGTCTCCACAGGCAGGAGGAAAGACTCAGGGACACCATCCAGACTCTGCAAGAGATCCCTCTTCACTCGCTGGGAGAGACTACACCACCAGGTTAGTTATGCACAGGGAAGCTATAGATTGTATCCCAATTGGCACCCTATTCCCTGCATAGTGCACTACTAGGGTGCCATTTGCGAGACACTCATTAATTTACCTGGAACTCACACTGGCGAACATGACCACTGGAAATAAAGAGGCCTGAATCCACACTTTGAGGGCTGTTTTTTACAATACAATTTACACGTCCATTTTGCTGCAAGCAGAAGCTCTATTGTACAGTATGTATTGGATATAAGGACTAAGAGGTATTAACAAATGATTTGGTTACTGCAGATAGTAGAAAAGACCAATCTTCATTAAAATGTAGATGCAATCAATCTCTCTGTGTCCATCTAACGCTAATTATTATGACAATGTTTTTAAAGGACAGTTTCATTTCCATCGTGAAATTAAATATGTATGCGGCAGCGCGTTCCACTGTTCCAAATGGCAGCAGTTACATTTTGATGACAGTACAGAGTCATAATTATTTAGAAAAGCATTTGAGTAGCTTCCCACAGAAAAGGCTTCCTGCACTCAGTATCACATGCAAGAATAAACACAGTCATCTAAAAATCCATCCTGGCTGTACCATTAAATATGTTTTTTTTAGAGAGGGAGAGAGACAGAGCGAGAGGGAATATAAAGCAAAGTCCACAGAATGTTAATTTGTTTGGTGAAATTTAAATGGGGGGAGATAGCCCAGCTGTTGAAGTTTGCAGTTTATGTTGGCTCATTAGTTTTTATTCTGTCTGGGTGATGTATTTTATTAAACCTTTCTTATAGTCTCCCTCTCCTCAGCTGAGCAGGCCAGGAGGCGTATTGGATGCAGAGGCGGCCCATTTTCTTATGTCAGATAGCACAACGACTCTGTCTGCACGGTCGGTTGAGGGACGAGTGTGGCCTAGGAGTGACGCCACCTGTCAGAAGACAATGGAGGAGGCCATGAAGACGTACTGCGGAGCTAAGATGGCAGCAGGGGCCTACCAGAGAGCCAGGCAGAAGTTTGTTGTCTCGCTGCAGGAGGCAGGTCTGGGCATCTGGAACAGGAAACCACCAGAACAGGAGCACTTCCAGAGCAGGGTGTGAGGGGTTCTTCTAAAAGAAGCAGTCCAGGGAATTCTCTTCAGCCAAATTCCCCCACGCGCGCACACACACACACACCGCAGACACAGACACACACACACACACACACACGTGAGCTGTTCCAATCGTGGTAACTAAGAGGTTGTAAAATACAATGTTACCACCATAGGAACAGCACATAAGTGGACATACAGACACTTCATATTATGACTTTATATTATTTCTCTCACCTTGGTTGAATACTGCATTTTGGGAAAGAGCTTGCAAGTAAGCATTTCACTGTACTGTTTTACACCTGCTGTATCCTGTGCACGTGACAAATAAACGTAGAAACTTCAAACACATGCAGTATGTAGTGAGTGTGAGGGAATTTGGCTAGAGAAAATTCCCTGGAATGCTTCTGTGCACTCTGACTTATCCATAGTGAATATGTAGTCCTGAGGGGTATACTACAAAGCAGGATCAATGAGTTAGCTAGTTAACTTCGATAAACAACCATAAATAACTGTTGATTTTCTGATTCAATAAGAAAGCTAATGTTCTATATGTGTTTTTGATTATTGAGTCAGTTAGGCCATGACAATCTCAAGCTTATCTCAACAAAAAATCTAAACAGCCTCCTGAGTCTAAGGCACTGCATCGCAGTGCTGAGGTGCCACTATAGCCTGGGGTTTGATCCCATAGGGCGGCGCACAATTTCGGCATTTCCAAAACATGTGCATTAAAGTAGCAGGAGCCTGCTTACATCGGTCACATGTGGGATCTATTTCTGGTCTAAACTTGGATAATCTTGCCTTTGACCAATGCAGCCGATGAACTTTTTTAAATTAAATTACAGCATGTCTTAGACATATAGATGAAGAATGTATTCTCTGAAGCATACTGAAAGTTGTTCACCTAAATCCTCTTCCCATTGGTTCTTAAGAGAGTCCAGGGACTCCAGATTGTGTGAGTTTAATAACATATAGACCAAGCCTATGCTCCCTTTGATATAAGGATTCACTTTAAAAACAGAGTCTAGAAGGGAGGTAGGTGGGCGTGATGGGAAGTGACTAGAGTATGAAGATACAAAACTACGCAGTTGTAGGCACCTAAAGAAATGGGATCTGGGAATATTGAACTTTTGTACTAACTGTTCAAAAGATGCAAAATCCATATCAATGTACAAATCCTTCAGTGAGGAGATGCCCTTTCCAGACCAGATTTGAAACGCCCTGTCTAATAATGATGGAGAGAATGTATGGTTCTTTAATAACACAAATGATCGCCTGAACTGTTTCCAGATGTTTTGAGAATGTTTCACAATAGGGTTTTTAGTGTATTTGGAAACAGGCTCAGCTAATGTGAGATTTGAGCAAAGTAAGGGAGCTAAAGTGGGGCCACAGGATGAAATCTCCAAGGTCAACCAGTTCGGGCATGTAACATCTGCGATTTCTGTCATCCAATATAGAATGATTAATATATTAGTTGCCCAGTAATAATATTGAAAGTTCGGAAGTGCTAGACCAGGCTGGGGGCGAGATCTCTGCAATAAGCTTTTACGTGTCCGAGGGTTCCAGATAAAAAACCTAGCAGTGTGTTAAGTAGCAGCGCAACTTTCGCCTCTCGCGAGTCAGTTGGGAAGTAGCGGCAATGAGAAAAGATCGTAAATGGCAATTGGATATCACGAAATTGGGGAGAAAAATTGGGTAACATTACAACAAAAAAATGAAAGTTATTTCAGAATATTCAAGTAAATTAGCTGGCTAACTCCTTGATCCTGCTTTGTAGTATACATACCCCTCCGCTTCTATTTCCTCCACTGTGCAGTCATATACAGTAACAATACAGTAGCCCAAAGATAATCCTGTTTCCCTTCTAGTAATCTTTCACCCACACCTGTTGAGTTACTCACTTGAGCTCCCCTTATTTTGTGGTGTCTCCTTGCATTGAATACCATACACCCTTCCAACCATTCAGTCATGTATTGTCTTTGTAATTTTAAGAGAAATTGTCATTGTAGTACTGGGGAGCAAGTAAGCTACAGTATGTGAATCTGGCCCTAGGAAACATGAAAGAGCACTGACATCTAGTGGCTCAAAGAGAACATTGCAGGTTCTGAGAGTATAACTACTAAAATAGTTTTTTTGTGGATTGACAGTAATTTACTCTCATAATTAGTATTTTCCCTCTGTTACAATTGCACATACACCTATTAACACATTATATAGTAAATTAAAAGTTATATTGATGTATTTCCTCTTTCCACAAGCAATTGTATTGCTTTATATTTATTTCCACACAAAACAGACACCATCTCACAGACTAAAATGATTGAATGTTAATAGTAATGTAGAAGTACTTTGTATCTAGATCATTGAATGTCAAATGTAAAATAGTAATTTATATTTTATTAAAGGGAGACAATTGGCAATTTTAGAATAATCTTTACCTGTTTTCTGACAACTGGGTGATAAAAGACTGAACAATTAATTTAACACTATCCTCATGTCACTGAACCGAAGTAATGGACATTTGGCATGGCTCGAAGCAAGGCTGAACTACGACACAAAGAAGAGGATACAATGAGGGAATGAAACGGCACAACATTTTATTTTATTTCACAAGCTGTTGTTCCTTATGAATAACCATCTCACACACACTACAGCTGTCAGAAAAACTGTTTCATGTTATGAGATGTGTACTAGCGGCGCTCCTCTTGTTAAAATGAACCTATTTTACCACATAAAATATAATTAGGTAGGTAAACACCACCGTTTTACTAAAGCTATTACACAGTTGATTTCGATTGCTAAGTTTGTATGATGTGAGGAGGGCGTGCATCTCAAATTGCACCTTATTCCCTTTGTAGTGCACTACATAAGGAATAGGATGTCATTTGGGACACAAGCGAGCACTCTACTCCATTGAAATAAATACAGGACAACATTTACATGACCAGGTGAGAAAACCATGAGACTGAAATGTACATAAACCACGAAGAAAGTGATGATAAACATGGTCAACTAGCTAAGCATGGTGGCTCAGGAGGTCAGGTAGTCTGAGTGCCAGTCTGTTTGTGCTACCATGCCAACTCCTTTTCACTCATTGTCATGCCAAACGAGCAATGGCGTTGGCAAGTGCCCAAACATATCTGGAACCAGGCTAGAGTTCACATTCACAGGCCATACGTCTTTGATATTTCCAAAATATTTGTTTCACTTAAATCAGGGATGATGACAATCCTGGACAGCTACGGTCCAAGAGACACCTCTTATTATACCAACCCATGTAACAGATTACTATAGTCACTTAATCAATGCCTCTAGTACTACATCATGTGGTATTAGTCATGCAAAGAACTGCACAACCAAATCTGCAGTAGCCAGTCTGTTTGTTCCATCATGCCATCATCGTCTCCCGAGTGGCGCAGTGGTCTAAGGCACTGCATCGCAGTGCTAGTTGTGCCACAAGAGATCCCGGTTCGAATCCAGGCTCTGTCGTATGGGGCGGTGCACAATTGGCCCAGCGTCGTCCAAGGTAGGGCAGGGATGTAGCTCAGTTGGTAGAGCATGGCGTTTGCAATGCCAGGGTTGTGGGTTCGATTCCCACCGGGGGCCAGTATGAAAATAAATAATAAAAATAATTTAAAGAATAATGTATGCACTCACTAACTGTAAGTCGCTCTTCTGCTAAATTACATAAATGTAATGCCAACTCCTTGTCACTTACAGTAGTGTCATGTTTGGCTTGACAATGACCAATGGAGTTGGAAAGAGCACAAACAGATCTGGGACCAGGCTAGCAGTAGCCTCTCTAAGACATCCCTGATGTAAACGATACATGAGAAAACTACATGCAAACCCCTCTAGATTAAAGCAACAATCCTTTAATGAAACCTAAGAGATCCAACTGATTTTAACTGCACAGGATGAAGAACTAGCGGAAATGAAAAGAGCACCTCAAAGTTAAAAGGATAATAAAATCTGCAGCAGGAATACACCATTAAGCCAAATGGGCCACTTTGAATAGAGATGATTACATTTAATTTGCTCCAGATGTGACATTTATTGTGGAAAGAAAGTTACGCTCACTTTGAACCGTGGGCCTACACCTGGAACCACGTTTTTGTCACAATAACGATTCCATAACGGGATAGCAGATGTTCAACATGACTTATTGTATAAATATCATTTATCAATATTTTGTTACAAGTTGGCAAAACACAAAGCATATCTAAAAGTCTCTACAGAAGCATTTACTACTGCAATAAAGCTGGCTTGTCCCATGAGATACAGATACATCATTTTGTATAATTTGTTGGTTACTAAGTCAACTGTGCTGCCTGTCAAGTGACTCTCACAGACAATTACACTCAAAATGTTTTCAAGCCCACCATTGATTATCTTTCTCTAAAAACAGACACAGCTACTTTATGACATCACACTGTTACCCCAAACACATAACAATCTCTTCTTCTTTTAGTTTTCTATGCAGTTTGTCGTTTTGGCAGCAGACATTAACACCATGATCACGGAGCACACCAAGCATGTTACAGCTATTGCATTAGAATGCTCTTAGAGATCCCACTTACTTACGCAAGGAAGTACCACGTGGTAACAAATGACTGACCTATATATCCCTGTAACAGCTTTTCAATACTGACTACTTCTAAGAAACACTTCACATGTTACTATTGTTTGTAAACTCTATATCTAACAGCAATTTCATAACATCTTACTTTCTAAGACTCATTTATGATTATTACACACGAATGAAGTGCCTATTAAATTGGTGAAGATGATCAACCTTGACCTCTAAACATGGGGTGTTTACACAACGTATTCCACTGGTACAACATACTGTCTAGGACTCGGAGTAGGATTCTGTCAAGTCTGTACAAAAGCTGCAATGGTATTTAGGCTAAAACAGTTTTTAACAACAAAATAAAATGTTAACATCTATTGGTTTTAAAAGGTGCATGACAGAGCCACATGAAAACTGTTCTGTAGCAGCTCTGCATGTTCCTTATTCAGTGCTCAGTTGATCACCAATAAATGGGCATGGACCTGTAAACCTTGTCAAAGTATGGCTCTGCCGAAATGGCACAGAGATATGCAGTAGCTTGGCTAGCTGTACATCTGAGCGATTAAGGTGGGTTCGAAAGCAGATGTGTGGCATTTCAATACTAACACAAGTCTCCATGAAATGCTGCTCATTATCATCGAGTCTACACCATCAAGTGGGCCCAACCTGTGCTGAACTGAAGATTAGGGTGACAACATTACGCTCCCCCCGTACCTTCTTTATGTCACTGTGCTCTTTATCTTCAGCAGGAAAGTGATGACTAAATTGATCAAAACAAGCCCTACAACAAAGCTGAGTGTAGTCCTTCACATTTTTTGTACATACATGGGCAAGTTTGAAAAAACCCCACACACACATGTAGTACGGTATGTATATTCAGACCATGCAGACCAGACTGTGACCACATTTGGAGTGTGAGAAGAACATGAAGACTTGACACAAAGAGAGAGAGAGTGGTCCTCGATCGATCTTCTCCCCTCCCTGCCCGAGAGTGGGGGCGTCTGACTGATCAGCTCTTAAGATGGGGCTCAGTGAGCAGATGGGCCAGGCGGATGGCTCAGGGCTGACTCTGGACATGTTTTTTTATTTGCACACAAGAAAAAGACAATACAATACGATTACATTTTGGCCATTTAGCAGACACACTTATCCAGAGCGAATTACAGTTCCAGAAAATTAAAAGATAAATTAAAAGTGCATGTGCAGATGAGGGGAAAAAAACTACCTAAGGGGCTTGTAAAGCACATCCCCCTTTCAGATATTTATAGAAAAATAAAGAGTAGTAATGTAAAAAATCTATATATAAACTAATACTTACGAATAACACTGAGGGGCGGTTTCCCGGACACAGAATAAGCCTAGTCCTGAACTATAAAAGCATCTTCTATGGAAATTCCCCATTGAGTCTAAGACTAGGCGTACCAAAAAAAACATAAGATAGTGAATGTGGGGGAAAACTAACCTGTCTGGGCTGGGCTCACTTCTCCTGCAGCAGAGCTGAGATGTTGATGTTCCATCCAATGGCCTGCCGGTCGAAGCCACAACTGAACAGGTTACAGGAGGAGTTGTCCTCACACCAGGCTGAGCAGCACACCATGCGCCGGTGGCCCTGTGAAGAAACAGTCACATTAGTACACTAACGAACCAGAGGGGTATACTACAAAGCAGGATCAAAGAGTTAGCCAGTTAACTTTGATAAACAACCAGAAATAACTGTTGATTTTCTAGTTCATTAAGAAAGCTAAACGTATATATACACTGAGTGTACAAAACATTAGGAACATCTCCCTAATATTGAGTTGCACCCACTTTTTATTTTTTTGCCCTCAGAACAGCCTCAATTTGTCGGGGCACAGACTTTACAAGGTGTCGAAAGCGTTCCACAGGGATGCTGGCCCACATTGACTCCAATGCTTCCCACAGTTGTGTCAAGTTGGCTGGACGTCCTTTGGGTGGTGAACCATTCTTGATAAACTCGAGAAACTGTTGAGCGTGAAAATCCCAGCAGCGTTGCAGTTCTTGACACACAAACCGGTGCGCCTGGCACCTACTACCATACCCCATTCAAAGGCACTTAAATATTTTGTCTTGCCCATTCACCATCCGAATGGCACACATAAACTTGTGTTATGGCTTTACACCCCCTGCTATATTGTGGATAAAGAGTTACCTGTCTAACAGAACACAGAGGGTGTTATTTAATGGAAGCCTCTACAACAAAATCCAGGTAGAATCAGGAATTCCCCAGGGCAGCTGTCTAGGCCCCTTACTTTTTTCAATCTCTACTAACGACATGCCACTGGCTTTGCGTAAAGCCAGTGTGTATATGTATGCGGATGACTCAACACTATACACGTCAGCTACCACAGCGACTGAAATGACAGCAACACTTAAAGAGCTGCAGTTAGTTTCAGAATGGGTGGCAAGGAATAAGTTACTCCTAAATATTTCAAAAACTAAAAGCATTGTATTTGGGACAAATCATTCACTAAACCCTAAACCTCAACTAAATCTTGTAATGAATAATGTGGAAATTGAGCAAGTTGAGGAGACTAAATTGCTAGGAGTAACCCTGGATTGTAAACTGTCATGGTCAAAACATATTGATACAACAGTAGCTAAGATGGGGAGAAGTCTGTCTATAATAAAGCGCTGCTCTGCATTCTTAACAGCACTATCAACAAGGCAGGTCCTACAGGCCCTAGTTTTTGTTGCACCTGGACTACTGTTCAGTCGTGTGGTCAGGTGCCACAAAGAGGAACTTAGGAAAATTGCAATTGGCTCAGAACAGGGCAGCACAGCTGGCCCTTGGATGTACACAGAGAGCTAACATTAATAATATGCATGTCAATCTCTCCTGGCTCAAAATGGAGGAGAGATTGACCTCATCACTACTTGTATTTGTGAGAGGTATTGACATGTTGAATGCACCAAGCTGTCTGTTTGAACTACTGGCACACAGCTCGGACACCCATGCATACCCCACAAGACATGCCACCAGAGGTCTCTTCACAATCCCCAAGTCCAGAACAGACTATGGGAGGCGCACAGTACTACATAGAGCCACGACTACATGGAACTATTCCACATCAAGCAACTCATGCCAGCAGTAAAATTAGATTTTTTAAAAACAGATAAAAATACACCTTATGGAACAGCGGGGACTGTGAAGCACCACACACATAGACACATGCATACAAACACACAATAACATACACACATATACACATGGATTTTGTGTTATAGATATGTAGTAGTAGAGTAGAGGCCTGAGGGCACACACTTAATATGTTGTGAAATCTGTTATGAATGTATTGTAATGCTTTTAAAATGTATAAGTGCCTTCATTTTGCTGGACCCCAGGAAGAGTACCTTGGCAGTAGCTAATGGGGGTCCATAATAAATACAAATCTACACTGATTGAAGTGGATTTAACAAGTGACATCAATAACGGATCATAGCTTTCACCTGGATTCACCTGGTCAGTCTACGTCATGGAAAGAGCAGGTGTTCCTAATGTTTTGTACACTCAGTGTATGTTTTGGGTTGTTGAGTCAATTAGACAAAGCACATTTCAAGTGTATAAAAAAACCTTTTAAAAAAACAGGATATTTATGCAAGTTAGCTGGCTAACTACTTGATCCTACTTTGTAGTATACCCCTCAGGGTCTTATTCACTAGGAAGTAAACTAGTCGAAACATTGAGGGACCTACCTGAATTTGTCCAATAAAAAAGATGCTTGTTTTTTGTGTCAAAATGTTTGCTTACGGTGCAAACATTTTGCTACAGTGTAAACTAATGAATATGACCCTGACTTATTATATGCTACTATATAAATATCCAGCCTACTGTATAGATCACTACATCCACTACAGATGCAGATTATACTAGAAATATACTAGATGAAAAATTTTATGTATTTGCTGCCTCTGTGTGTTGGTGCTGGTTACCTGTCTGTTGCTGTGTGGGAGTCGAGCCAGCCGCACTCCTGACATGTCAAACAGCCGAACTTGTCGATTGTCGTGAGGAAGAGCAATGATTCTTTGATTCACCGACACGCTTATCCTGTAAGAAGTAAGTAGTTCAAAGTACAGTAAAAGGTTAGGCTTCAAAACACACATTTTTATTGAACCTTCTAAAAACATAATTCCCAGTAACATATTTTGATTCTTTGGCTCACCTACATGCTCATCCTGAAATATAACTTTCATTCTTAAATACCAGTCTTGACAGGTACAAACTAATACTTGCCTACTATCTCAATTTGAAACTCCTCTCTCTCACCTATTGACTGCAGAGTCTGTGCGGATGGTTGCTATGGGTGACCTCATGTTCTTGAGGTCCCAGACCTTGACGGTGCGGTCGTCACTCCCAGACACCACGTTGTCCCCCACAGTGAACACTGCTGACGTCACCGTGCTGGAGACGCATGACATGGTGGAAGAGAGTTATTACATTTACATTTTAGTAGACGGTCTTATCCAGAGCAACTTACAGTAGTTCATTCATACATTTTTGTACTGGCCCCCCATGAGAATTGAACCCACAACCCTGGCATTGAAAGTGCCATGCTCTACCAACTGAGCCACACGGGACTACATGGGACTTCTTCAAAATAGTAATTCACTTGCTTTGCTTGCTCTTTGGGGTCTAGGCCAGATTACTGGAAAGCACTTAGTGAGAACTGTTGACGTTAAAAGGGCTTTATGAAATTAACGAGATTGAAGTTGATTGAATCAACCACACACTGATGTTGTCCTAGTGAGGGAACCCTGACAACTAATATCCTAGGGACTCAGGATTTTTACACTTAGTATTTCAGTAAGCTAGGGTTGCAAAGGGAGGGTATATTACTGGAAATGTTCTAAGTTTACCAATAAACTACCAGAATGTTGGTAGCTTTCAAGGATCACAAAACATCTAGTGGCCCTTTTCGGTAATTCAGATTATCACAGGTGTCTATAATTATCTCTGACCCTCTGTGTGGCCTTATCACATGTACATATATGAATTAATTAAATAAGATTAAAAATATATATATATAGAATGACAAAGCTGTAAAACATTATCCTAAATATAAACCATCAACTTAGTGAAAACCATTGGTGTTTAATATAAGGGTTTCAGCATGCAAATTTTTTTTTTTACACTTGTATTTATTTTATTATGTCAATATGTCTTTGTTGTAAATGTTTTGGCGCTAAAACGGTGGAAGTTGTGAAGAAAAGTCAATAGTTGGAAGAGTTGCAGAGTTAAATGAAAATAATGCCATTGTTGATTAGATGCTTTTTTCATTAATTAGGCTATTTCCTCTTGAACCATATGGTCCATCTACTAGAAACTCATGGTAAATATGGACACACATATCAAAAATGAATACTATGTGATTTAAAAAAAGTTTTTCAAGTATAAATTACCAAAGTTAACATAGATTGCCATCGATTACCTGTTAATTACCCAAATTACAGAAGATTCCGGTAGTTTTGCAACCCTAGATAAAGTCAATTTGCAGTATGAGAGGAATACCTAGATATTTACTACAAACACACAGATGCTGTCTTGGTGGGAATATTTGAGGCCTGAAGGTCACCAGCTACTTCATTCACTTGACTGACTCATGTATCACGGTATCATTTGTTATGGATACTAATGGCTGATTAGCTGTGCCCTCATCCGCTACTCTTGGCAGACCAAATCTAGCCCCTGTAATCTAAACAGACACATTGATAATGACTACGAATTAATGTCTAATTAATGTCATTCATACGTGTGGCGAGATGCTTTCTGCATTAATTTTGTAGGGGTGCTACTGACAGACTGAACGAGTGGATGAGGGGTCTCTGAGGACCCACAGGCAGAAGGTGGTGTGTGTGTGTGCGACTCACTCGGTGTGTCCCTGGAACACGTTGACAGAGTGGATGGAGGGGTCTCTGAAGTCCCACAGACGGAAGGTGGTGTCTCTGGACGAGGTGACCACCAGACGCTGGGTGGGGTGGGTACAGCAATGGGTCAGCTCCTGGTCGTGGCCTGGACACGCACGCATGCAAGCACGCACACACACACACACACAGAGGTGAGGTAGAGATATACGGCAGAGCACACATTAAGGGGTGGTTTCCCATTGATAGGTTAAGCCTATTCCTGGACTAAAGAGCATTTTCAATAGAGATTCTCCATTGCGCTTGCTTTTTAATCCAGAACTAGGCTTAATCTGTGTCCCAGAAACCGGCCCTAAGAGAACGGCTGGCTCGTACCAGTGAGAGAGTGGACGAGCTCAGATGTCTCCACGTCGTACAGGTTGGCAGCCCGGTCCCAGGAGGCGGTGACCACCTGCTTGCCCCCCACCAGCCAGTCTGCAGCGATGACAACCCCCTGGTGGCTCCTGAGGGTAGTGGAAGCCATGCGGATGGAGGGACACTCGTTAGGGCCGTCACCGTCCCCGTCAGCCTCATCCTTATCTGAGAAGTCTATGTCGTCGTCACAGGGCGTCTGCTGTGGAATCGGAGACAGACGCAGATACAGACGCACATACCACAGACACACAGAGATCAGCATTTAGAACTAGACATTTGTAGATGCAGTGGGATAGAAGAGATATGGTTTTGAGAAGCTTACACTGATGTCAGCTACAGGCTGTGGGGTGGGCAACTGCACCATGTATCTCCAGATATGGGCTGTCTGGTCACCAGATGCTGTGGACAGAGCAGAAAGAGGCCTCAAAAACACTTCCAAACAATAGACATCTGAACATACATTGGACTAAAATGTGTTTTTCTGACAATTGTGGACATTGAGCAAAAGCTCCTTACCTGTAAGAGCCATTTGTTCCGTGGGATGGAACTTGATAGAGTTAACTGGAAAGAAACAAATATAGGAGGTATTTGTTCATATAGATATTGATGAATAGCCTCCACAATAAAACTTTGGGCCCATTCCAAATTGCACCCTATTCCCTACACAGTACACTACTTTTGACCAGGGCACCATAGTGCTCTGGTCAAAAGTAGTGCACTATATAGGGAATAGGGTGCCATTTGGGATGCCCTATACGAATAATTTAGACCAGTCGCTTTCTTCATGACTACACATTGCATGGATCAAATAAAGAAAGCATTTTACCTGATCCTGCATGACCCACATACTTCAGGAGGCACTTTCCGGTCTCGATGCTCCATAGCATGGCACTGTGATCTGTGGACAGACACGTGGTGTACACACACAGTGGCTTAGAATAGTAGGCGTCATTTAGGCCATGCTAGCTTCATACTGTAATCATTTGTGATTCTCAAATGGCACCCTATTTCCAATATAAAGCACTACTTTTGACCAGTAGCACTATGGGCCTTGGTCAAAAGTATTGCACTAAATAGGGAATAGCATGCCATTTGGGATGCAAATCATGAGTCCTTCAGTTCGCACTGCCTTCATACTGTAATCATTGACAAATTACATTTGCCCCCTTTTAGTGTATTAAAAGCACAATATGCTCTCCGATCTGAAAGCAATAATTGCTAGACCTTATGATTGCATGATCACAACCCAAACACGCACCTGTTAAATTGATTGAATATTAAACCAAACTCTGCAGTGCATTTTAAAGCGCTATCAGGCTAAACATTACTGTGACTCACTAAGATGATTGTTAGTCTTGGGCCAGGAGGACGATAAGGCTAGTAGTCAAGACATTGGGATGTACTGTAGCTAGCTAGGCATGCAAAATTCTGGAAACTTCCTAGAAATCCCAGGTTTTCCCGAAGTCCTGGTGGGAGGTTTATAGATTTCCTACTTATTTTCTCCTGATTCCAGGAATCTTCCAACCAGGATTTCTTTAAAACCAGGGAATTTGAGGAAATGTACTGTAATTTTGCAACCCTACCACGATGGCATTGGGATGTACTGTAGCAATCTACCTGCCGACGCTGTGCCCAGCACCACGGGCTGTGTCCTGGTGACACTCAGGTCCCATATGCCATCCCTGTGGCCTACATACTCCTTGACCAGCTGGCACACGGCTCTGGACGTGGTGGCTTTAAAACTGGAGACTATCTGAAGGGAAGCAGACAGGAGATGGTGTTAACACACAGGTGAATGAAGAGGAGGAAGCATAATGAAAGCAGGGAGGGACAGCAGCACTGGGTGGGTGGGGGTCATAGGGTCATTAGGGCTCCAGTCAGTCAGCATGATACCTCTGCGATGGCTAAGAAGCTTAGGTTGTTTTAGTCCATGTCCAAAATGGCACCATATTCCCTATATAGTGCACTTCTTTAGGGCTCTGGTCAAAAATAGTGCACTATATCAGCAAATAGGGTGCCATTTGGGACACAATCATCATTATTTATTTACTCACATCACCTCAGTATCATGTTGGGGACACAATCAATATGCGTCATTACCGTAATCAAAACTGATTTTAAATGCAAAGCTGTGAAAGAATGAAGAGGGGATGAATAATATATGAAGCAATATTAGGTTAAATAAAACAAAACCCTTCAAATAACAATAGTGAAATGATGATCATCAGTCAGTATCCATGTTTACATCTAAAATGGAAATAAAACAAGTTGGACTTCTGGGAGTGGCAGGTGTTTGAAACAAACCACTAAATAAGTTCCCACTGTAAAAGCATGAGGGGATAAAGTAACAGGTCAGTTATCTCACCAAAATAATTAAACATACAAAAACAGGGCTGCAAAACTCAAGTAACTTTCCTAAAATTCCCAGGTTTTCCAGAAATCCCAGTTGAAAGATTCCCAGATTCAGGAGGGAATAACCAAGAAATCCAGAATCCTCCAACCAGTATTTCTGGAAAACCTGAATATTGCAACCACATACAAAAAACACAAAATCATCCTTGAGAAAACTATGGAAATTAAAGTGGAAATTCAACATTATGTGAACTTTCGTAAACATATAGGCCTAGTAACAGCATAATAACACGATGGAAGACCAAAATGTTATTCACAACTTTGATGTGTTGAGTTGCAGTTAGTTTTCAGTGGTTGGTTGGTTGTTTGTAAGCACAGAGCAAGCCAAAAGCACAGCAGTCTATCCACACATAACAGCAGCAGCTCTGGGTCTCTCTGGGCTGCACAGATAAAACCTCTGCAGATACAGTAGCTGAGGGTGTCTCAGACGGCACCCTATTTCCTATATAATGCACTACATTTGACCAGAGCCATTTGGGACGCTGCCTGAGGCTTTGGTGCGAGATACATGCGACAGTGCACTACAAAATAAATTACTATGAAATCATTTGAGAAAAAATTAACTTCAGGACTAACATACATCTAGACATTCAAAATGTTCCCAGGTCTGATTTAATACACAGTTCCTATGAAACAGGATAAGTCACATGCATTTTAAGGTGTGCATAAACTAAATGAAGCACTATTAACAGTCAGTAGTGAATGGTGGCCATAGGAAAGATAGCAGTGCAGTTTATACTCAGAGCTGTTAAGGATTACAGAACCTGTTTAGATGTAACACTGGCGTAACATGCTATATTTAACCATTAGGCAACAGGAAGTGTGTTAGATACCGCAAAGCATCGCTAAATCAGCTGGTAGAAACTGGCCAAGTATCTATGGCACCCTGACCCCGTTTATGGAGTATAGCCTATTCAGACAGTTGATGGTCTGCAATGAGCATATCAAATTGGTGCTCGTTTTACATCAGTAATCATCAACATTTCAAGAAAAGATTAGAGTTTGCTTGAAGCCATCCAAGTGCCATTTCTGAAAATGACATATAGATCATACATTTTTTAACCTTGAATGCAATGAATGTACTGTATAAAAGCATACATTGAAAAGAGCAAGTGATCAGCCTAACTTAGTAATGTGTGTGAATAATAAGAATATGCCATTTAGAAGACACTTTTATCAAAAGCGACTTACAGTTATGTGTGTATACATTTTATGTACTGGTGGTCCAGGGAATCAAACCCACTATCCTGGCGTTGCAAGTACCATGCTCTACCAACTGAGCTACAGAGGAATAGGTTAGTTCTTTCCAGTAATGAGATTGTGTGACTCTGGCTACAGCTGAAAACCAATGGGCTTATGCTCAACGAGGTAAAACCAAGCTGTTCCTGACAGACCATCACACTGTTGCCATGATAGCGGCTACTTCAAATAAGAGTCTAATCGCAGTAACTGTGGTAGTTTTTTTTCTACTAAATGACTAAAACATAAATGATAGAAAGAGCACAATATAAATCAGTCATTGCACTGACTGTGAAACAAAACAAGGCCCACAAATGCTCTTTCATCTAAAACCATTAGTCATTAAAGGGATACTGCGAGATTCTGGAAATTGTACAGGAAGTCTACAGGTACGCTAGCGTATGCTACTGTACCTGTAGACTTCCAGTCATTGCACTAACGCTAGTTAGCATTGGCTCATGAAACTACCTCAACTTACTTCATACTGCACGCAGAGACGTAAAAATGCGAGAATCTCAGAGTATCCCTTTAAGACATTGAAGATGAAGGCATTTCACAGAGATCTTGTCAGCCTTTCGGCCTAAGTGCTTGACAGCTTGGAAATCCAATGCAAATCCATTTTAGTGAATGAAGAAACAAACAAAAAAACTAAATGTGTAGCCTTAATTGCTTAGAAAGCTTTGGTTAGTGAAATATATCAATTAGTGTCTTTAATGTGTCTCACTGAAATTAGTCTATAAAACAACAAGTCATACATTTCAATCACCAAGTGTGTTGGAGATGGTGCATCAGCCCCATGGATGGGCTGCTCATGCATAGTGGTGGGGGGACACGGGGGAAATTAATAACCTTTTACCCATGAGTCGCCACCCCACAACTCCACAATGTTCCCCACAGTGAAGGTGGGAAGAGGTCCATCACCTACTTTGCCATGGAAAGAATGTGAGCGCTATGGCACAGGTAAAAAATATAAATAAATTGACAATATGACCACTTTCATATCTCTTGTTCAATGAAAACTTCACATACAGCACAAACCTTAAAGCGATTGTATTTTAAATGAATATATCCTTAGATCCATTTCCTCAAAAATAAATACAATTTTCATATAAGATTGTGTTTCAATAGAACAGTGGCCTTTCTCCCCTCTAAGTCACCCCTTTGCCGAAACAATTATTGTAATAGCGAACAACTAGATTGTAAGTAGTGCTGAGCAATTAGTGTTTGGCTTATGGATCGATTATTTTTTTAAAGAATCACGGTTTTTGATTTCGATTATGTTTTTTAAACATGAAATGCACTTATGTATTATGTGGGTTGAATGTTGTAACAGAATAAAACTATTAATACAGGTATCATGATGGTAGTGACTGCCAATTACTGTTCATCACTTATTAACCATCATTTATTTACATTACTTATCTTTAATAAAATGTCTCAATTGTTGTGTATATTACATTTGATGACTATTATTTCCTTCCAAGTAATCATCTCTATAGAGCTGCTGCCTATGCTGTCTGACAAAATCACTATTTTAGTAGTTCTTCAAAGTAAATAAGGCATAGTTTTATAACTGCTGAGTACCAACTAAGAATCACTGAAATCATGTATTTAGAGATACCTCACGAAGCAACTGCCTCTATCCCTCTTGATCACACATTATTCTGTCTCTTCTCTCTCCATGTCTACCCACACTAACCTAACGTAGCAGGCGTAAAAGAAACACAGACCAGACAAGTAGGTGCACAATGGATTATGGTCATTGTAGTTAATTACCACGTTTTCTGAGCTAAACTATGTAGAATATTGGCCTATTGCAAACTACAACTCCCTACTTCATCACACAGTTTGGGCTTGATCAGATCTCTAGAGAAACTGCACAATGTGCGCATTGAGCTCACAGAAAAAACCTGAAAGAAATCAAATTCAAATATTTTAACCCACTTGAGTCAATTAGTTGTTTTAAAACCGAAAAAATAACCGACATTTCAGTTAAATCGCTCAGCACTAGTTGTAGGTACTCAACAATATTAGCCCTTTTCTTTGAATCGTCATGCAAGCCAGAGATAAAGATAAGACATTTTACCTTGCTTGTAGATGCCTTATAAGTGGTCTTCAGTTTTTGTGAAAGTTGACTTGTGCTATGACTTGCTGCGAGTAAAGAGAGAGCACATTATGAGAACAGAATAAGAAGTCAGTGAAGTCTCTAATCAAAATATTGTGGATCCCTATGTAATTTTCTTTATTTGGCATTAAGGCCCTTCACAGCGGTATTAACATGTGTTGAACATAAATAATGCTAAACTATCTAACATGTCAAAGGAAATTCTACTGTCTCAAACCTTTTGTTTTAAGTGCCCCCTTTGTCAAGTCTCCCCCATCGATGGTTTGTCCTTCAGCTGTCAAACGATCGTTCAGGGTTTCAATCTCTCTACGCACTGCAAAATAATAGAACTCATAATGAGTGATTCTGACAGCAATGAGATTATCAAACATATCAATCAACACATTTTCACATATGGTTAGTGGTGTACACAGAGTGAAATCCTACTAAGTGACATCCACTCCAATGATGACCATGCATAAAAACCAATAGAAATGTTATCCACCAATCCGTGTGCTATACACTTACACTCAATGTTTTCAATGTAGAGGTTTTCAAACTCCCTCTCGATCTGGCCAAACAGGTCCAAAAGATTGCTCCTCAAAGACAATGGCAGTTTGGAATCCTGCAGAAGCATAAATGGGGGAGAAATTGATAATTTTAATATTTTTTGTGAAATAGGAAAGAGAACTGAATAATTCACCCTTTGGTTTATAATGAGACCAATACTTCAAACCCAACACGTGTGGGCCCTAGTGATATAATAGCAAACTATTAAGCATAATCTTCCTGCAAGACAATGCTGAAAAAATTATCATTTACTAGTGCTAAGGGGACTGTAACCCAGTGTTTCCCCTATATTCATTTAGCAGCGGCGGCTGACCGCAGCTAAATTATTGCCACCGCTGCAAAAAATATGTACTTTTTAAAATATATATACATGTATATATTTATTTATACCGAGACACGCTTTTAAATGGATAGTCATTGGCTCAATGACTGGAAGTCTATGGGAACAGATAGCGTGTCATTGCACTAGTAGCAATGCACCACCCTCCCCTCACCACTACTACCCTTGCCACCACTGCAAAAAAATATATAGAAGCAACACTGCAACCAAACACTCAAGGGTGAAGATAGGGACACTAACACAGACAACTAAATATCAATGTTGTACCACTACACAAGGACAATATATTATGTGTTGCGGAAGGATGTCAGAACCACAACAAATGGTCTTGATTCTCTGTTACATTCCTTTTAACGCACACATTTTCATTCTACGAGAGCACTGAAGTGAACTGAAGAGCCTAGTGTGACAAGAGCACAGTCTGTCCAGGGCCTAACACATACAGGCCCAGCTTTTTTTTAAGGATTTTAGAGTGCTCTTTGCATTCGCAGGCTAACAGTAACAAGCCCTGATGCAGCTGGAGAAAGGACAAGTACCAATACGCCACAATGCTCAAATAAACAGCAAAACAGGCTGGGGTAGTCTAGTTTAAAGAGTAGGCTATTGCTCAGGGGGGAATTTGATGGAACTTGTATAGCATGGAGAGATTTGCAATACTGAAAACATATTTTCTGGATAGGAGCACAGAGCATGTTGAATGAAGCTTGCTGTAGATTTAAAGGGATGAAGCTTGCTGTAGATTTAAAGGGATACTTCGGGATTTTTCCCCGGAGTCAGATGAACTTGCGGACACCATTTTTATGTCTCTGTGTCCAGTATGAAAGAAGTTAGAGTTAGTTTTACAAGCCAATGCTAACTTGCATTAGCGTAGATACCCATAGACATCCAGTCATTTCGCTAACGCTAGCGCACACTGCACGCAGAGACATAAAAATGGTATGCACGAGTTCATCGGACTCTGAGGAAGTAGATAAAAAATCCCTTTAATAGAACTGAGCGTTTTGGCAAGGGGAAAGGAAATGCATAGTGTGTGAACGAACCTAGGGAGAGAGAACACTAAAACATTACACCTAAACTATTTAGTATGCTATTGAGAAGGTACTCTACATTCTGGCACAGCTGCAGTGTTTCTAAACACCTAACTTACCTCAGGTTTCAAATAGTGACGCAGATTATCAGCAGATTTAGACTAATCAAAGTAGCCAGAGAAAAAACAAAAAAGTTGGATTAAGTGGTTTGCCCCATGTCCCGAATAATTTAAGAGAAAGATTAATTATTCCTCTGAAGTAATGCTATATGCTACCACAATAATAGCTGAAAACATACTCTACTATGAAAAAGGCATACTGAAAAAGGCTAGAGGCATTTTACAGTTGCTCCCCTTAATTATCTGGGCATCCCCTTAATGATCAGACATAGAATTTATCTTAATCTGTTTGTTCAGTGTTGCAGTGTAGAAAGCCTGAAGACAATGAAGCAATAAGGCCTAGGGGGTGTGGTCTTAAGCACGACGCAACACGGAGTGCCTGGATACAGCCCTTAGCTTTGGTATATTGGTCATATACCACAACCCCCGAGGTGCCTTATTGCTATTATAAACTGGTTACCAACAAAATTAGAGCAGTAAAAATAAATGTTTTGTCATACCCGGCTCAAGCCACCCAGTTTATAATAGCTAACATAGAACTAAGATAATTGAATAAACAATTCCACAACAATATCTACATTAACTTACTACTTGGATTACAACAACTGTCTACTAAATCACATTTTAGGCTAATTTATATTTTCTGTTAAGGGAAAGTATATTTAGGCTGTTTCATCTCATGTAGTCTAATCCATAACTAAAAATGTATCATTTAACTGAATATGTTCTGTTCTTCTAACTGCATCCATACACTTTATATCATATAATTGACTCAACTAAGTGATGTTTAAATAGATTAGCTTGAGTCCATGTGCATCACTTGGTCAGGGACAGAAGAGAACACACTGATTCTGATGGTTAAACAGCACAACAGCATTTCATGCTCTCTAAACTGATGGACCACAGTGTAAAGGGATTAGGCCTACTTTAGACTAGTGAACCTATTGGTGCAAACCACAGTGCCATTAGTGCACCCAAAATAAGAACACAACTACCACAGACATGTGGATTGCCTCATTCTATTCTATACCATTTTGGATAGGAAAATCAGATAGGAAAATCTCTCTAGTCATGTTGACAACATTCAGCCGGACAAAAGCAAATGAAAACTCGACTACTCTGTGTATTGTTCTCAGGCTCCCCCCAGCCCAGTCCTCACCTGTCCCTCCAACATCTCCCTCTGTAAACCTGAGCGCTCCTGCTCGGTGCTGTTGGTCCGGCGGATGGACAGACTGTGGGACTTGCGCTTCTGCTTGGCCTGGCGAGAGGCTGCACTGCTTCCACTTTCGACAGGCATCCCTCCTCATAGACCCCCAACCTTCCTATGTGAAACTGTGAAAGAGGAAGCAGAGTACATGGATAGAATGATTAGTTATATTAGTTTGGCGCTATTACAGAGGTCTTTACACAAGGCCCTATACATACTAAGAAATAATACGTCTTTCTTAGTCAGTATGGCCAAAGATTGCGGTATATATTGACGCCTTTGGAGGTGTTCAGGTACACATACACCACAACATACAAACAGTATCTTCATCTTCACAGCTCCCAGGGGCATCCAGACATTGTCATTGATTTAAAGAGGCCATCTTGAGGACTCTGAACATGTCTGACAGTTACTGGAGTCATCATTTAAAAAAATTGAATAGCTGAAAGGTTAGATTAACTTCATATTATGATTGATAATAACTATGTGACGTCAGCATGTCAATCTTGGAATCATGTTGCCCTTGAAGGGGTGTGTGAAGGACTGATGTCAGCAAAGAAAACGTTCAACGAATGTGAAACAATACATACTAACAAACGTTACTGCAAGCTAACAATTACTGTTGATGAAGATTAACCTAAACACAATCCCTGTCAAGCCACCCTGCCTGATCCCCCTAGTAAATTTAGCTAACTAGCCAGACTAGCTAGCTGTCAAACATAACTACCTAGCTAGCTAGTTATGAAGCTAAAGAACTAATGCAAACCACCATAGCTGACAAAAATGTATTGATATCACTGAGGTGACAAACCAAGACTGTGCACTAACTAGCTATTTTGCACAAAATGTACACCCCAATTGACAAGAAAAAAAATAGGTACGGTGCGACCTACTACGACGCTAACTAGTTAGCAAACGTTAGCTGAATTGACGTAGCTAGTTAGCGAGCTAGCAGAGAAACGTGAACATACTTACATACAAGACTACAAATTCAAGTATTTGTTACAAGTTGCTCTGAAATTTATTCTGCGATAGACCATTTTGCCATTTTCTACGAGAAAAAATATTTACTGAGATTCTTGTTGACGTCTAACTACCCTTCTTTTGACCGTCTATGCAGCTACCCACTGTCAAACTGATAGCAGCTGACTGACTGGCCTTGTCGTTTCATCCAGGCCACCGAAGGAAGTTACGCCCACTTCCGGGTCCATTCCCCAATGTTAGTTTTTAAACTATGATTTTAAACATTCCACTTTGGCCAAGCCCCATGAGTCATATAGGCCCACAATATTTTCCTCATATACACAATCTATGATTTTCCTAATATTGTAAATAGATTTCCTTTCATCACACTGGAATAAACAGGCAGCACAAGACAGTAAATTATTCACTAAACTTATTTTTAATAAAGCACCATTGAGCGATTTCAGTTTATACATTTAATCACTTCCCCTACATCATCATACACTGTAGAAAACAACTCACATTTAGCAAGGACTTAACTGTTATGGTGCGTGCAGCTTCATCTTCTTTGTTTCTAGCTACACCAAACCAATACAATTGATACATTCCAGGAGAGTTAAGGCAATATGTACCATTTACAGCTTACAATTCAAGTACACTTCACTTGAATGCCCTTTTTGTGTATTTTTATCACAATTGGTAGCCCCAGCAATGGGAGGCTATGACTATGGGTGTTCAGGTAAGTGACACAGAAGTTGAACTACCACTCAAATCAAATTGCTGGCTGATACCTTGTGGTGAATTGAGGTTTGTGCTCCACTACGCAGCTTTCCAAAACCAGGAATGTCACCTCTGTGTCACTCATTACCTCAATATGATGAAATATAATCCAGAAAAGGGCAAACATTTATTTTCAGATTTACTCCAGAGAAAAGGTACACAATTCCGACAGAAACTGGATTAGACTGAAAAAGGTCAATTGCATCCATCAATGCCTTTATCTGTGATCGTTGGTTCCGGACTTTCTCTTGCCAGAGAAAAGATGTTTTGGCTTGAGGTCGAATACATGTCTGTCTGCCTCTCCCTTCTTCCCCTGGCGGTTCATGTCCTTCTGTTGGCTCTTCATCAACTTCTTGGCCTTCTTCGCCATCTATACAGGAAAATATACTTTCAGTAAATCCTCAGCAAAACACAGGTTGTGTCCCAAATGTCACTCATATCCCTATATAGAGCAGTACTTTTGACCTGGGCCCATAATAGGGTGCCACTTCAGACACACACAATCATAACATCTCCTAAGCTTATGTTTCTTTAAGTCAGGGGACAAAAACTTTCCCAATATGCATTTTGCATATTTTTAATACAACCCATTTCACCTGATGACAGGAAAAGATGGAGTAGCCCAGAGCCATATATTTAAAGAGTTAGGCCAACTTTTAGAATATTGTTCTAATTCTATACATTTAGTTACATAGCACTGTTTAAATATTCCCCCATGTAATGTTAATGTGGAGATAACATGGCTGCCATATAATGTTGTAGTGTGATGTAAATGCATTATAATGCTCATTCTAGACATTCAGTTCTATAGTATTTTTTTTTACATCCCCCATGTAATCGTAATGGGGAGCTAACATGGCTGCCATAGAATGTTGAAGTGTCAGGTAAATGCATCATAATGAAGAAACCGCATTGGCCCAACTCTCTAAATAGCCTACATCACAAACCTTAGGATCACGAACACCAGATTGGTCGCGTGGGGGACGAGAGGCGCTCTGGCTGCGAGTTCGAGAGGTGGGAGCTATGGACGCCTCACGCTTGCGTTTCTTGGCAACACCAACACTCCGGGATCTACGGGCATTCACTGCATAGTGGCTCTGAAAGGACATGAGCAGAAATGTGTGAATACACTACAGTATAACATCTGTATCACGTACAAAGACATTGTATTTGACATAAACAGAACTAAATGAAAAGCAACTTACGTCATCTTTTCCAGTCATGTCCAGACCAAGGTCTCCCATTTCTTTCTCCAGAGTTTTTCTTTCAACCTGTAAATGTAAAAAATAGACTTACAGTTAATCTTGTTTTACAGCCAAAGTTATATTCATATAAACAAGATGACCATCCACGTCACCTTCTTGACAGTTCTGGGTAGTCTGGGGCCATGCACATCCTTGTCTTTAGAGCACACGATCTTCAGCTTCCTCTTCTCTCTGATCTGTTTGGCCAGCTGGCGGATCTCCTGCATCTCCTCATCCTCGCTCTCCTCATCAGTCTCGTACTCCCCTGCCTTCTCTTTCAGCTCCTCCTCCTTCTCCAGATCCTCCAGGTTCTGTACGGGCATGAGAGAGATGTTAACCCTTTTTCAGTCAGTTGGCGGCTATAGTGGCAGAACAGTACATCCTTTCCATACTGGTCATCAATAACTACGGAGGTTTCACGCCCCACTCACCTTCATGATTTCAGGGTCGATATAATCTGAAATGTTGTGACCTTCCCATATTTCGGGAATCACATCATATTTCTCATCTTGATTCATCAGATCCCAATATTCTGAAAAAAGGAGGAATCATCAAGTATTAGAGAAAATGTGTCCTGATAACAATGTACACAATACCACTTCAGGCAAGCTATTTATAAATTGGACAATGTCCAAATACATACTCTGTAGGTCCAGGATATAATCATCTCCCATCTCCATCTCTAGATCCCTCTCCTGTAAATCAATGATGGAAATGGGTAATTAATTTACATTTACATTTTCTTCATTTAGCAGACGCTCTTATCCAGAGCTACTTACAAATTGGTGCATTCACCTTATGTAATTAATGAAATAATACCTTAGTAATAAGACAGCTAAATCTTTACAATGAACATTTATCACAACATAACCCACTTGAGTGAGCAGATTACATCCAAGGCTTTCCCAACATAATCCTTCTATAAGTGTTAATATATGGACATACCGTTTTGCGTTTGGGTGCATCCACCTCCATTGTTTTCCTGCCAATCCTGGCTCCCTCTGGAATGAACGGTGGTCTCGCCTAGTGTTGAGAAAACAGTCTAATGAGCATACCTAAAAGGACATGCCCAACTTCCCCTGATCACATTCAAATGTACAGTGGGGAAAAAAAGTATTTAGTCAGCCACCAATTGCGCAAGTTCTCCCACTTAAAAAGATGAGAGAGGCCTGTAATTTTCATCATATGTACACGTCAACTATGACAGACAAAATGAGAAAAAAAATCCAGAAAATCACATTGTAGGATTGTTTATGAATTTATTTGCAAATTATGGTGGAAAATAAGTATTTGGTCACCTACAAACAAGCAAGATTTCTGGCTCTCACAGACCTGTAACTTCTTCTTTAAGAGGCTCCTCTGTCCTCCACTCGTTACCTGTATTAATGGCACCTGTTTGAACATGTTATCAGTATAAAAGACACCTGTCCACAACCTCAAACAGTCACACTCCAAACTCCACTATGGCCAAGACCAAAGAGCTGTCAAAGGACACCAGAAACAAAATTGTAGACCTGCACCAGGCTGGGAAGACTGAATCTGCAATAGGTAAGCAGCTTGGTTTGAAGAAATCAACTATGGGAGCAATTATTAGGAAATGGAAGACATACAAGACCACTGATAATGTCCCTCGATCTGGGGCTCCACGCAAGATCTCACCCTGTGGGGTCAAAATGATAATAATATAATAATATGCCATTTAGCAGACGCTTTTATCCAAAGCGACTTACAGTCATGTGTGCATACATTTTTGTGTATGGGTGGTCCCGGGGATCGAACCCACTACCCTGGCGTTACAAGCGCCGTGCTCTACCAGCTGAGCTACAGAGGACCACAAGAATGGTGAGCAAAAATCCCAAAACCACACGGGGGGACCTAGTGAATGACCTGCAGAGAGCTGGGACCAAAGTAACAAAGCCTACCATCAGTAACACACTACGCCGCCAGGGACTCAAATCCTGCAGTGGCAGACGTGTCCCCCTGCTTAAGCCAGTACATGTCCAGGCCCGTCTGAAGTTTGCTAGAGTGCATTTGGATGATCCAGAAGAGGATTGGGAGAATGTCATATGGTCAGATGAAACCAAAATAGAAATTTTTGGTAAAAACTCAACTCGTCGTGTTTGGAGGACAAAGAATGCTGAGTTGCATCCAAAGAACACCATACCTACTGTGAAGCATGGGGGTGGAAACATCATGCTTTGGGGCTGTTTTTCTGCAAAGGGACCAGGACGACTGATCCGTGTAAAGGAAAGAATGAATGGGGCCATGTATCGTGAGATTTTTAATGAAAACCTCCTTCCATCAGCAAGGGCATTGAAGATGAAACGTGGCTGGGTCTTTCAGTATGACAATGATCCCAAACACACCGCCCGGGCAACGAAGGAGTGGCTTCGTAAGAAGCATTTCAAGGTCCTGGAGTGGCCTAGCCAGTCTCCAGATCTCAACTCTATAGAAAATATTTGGAGGGAGTTGAAAGTCCATGTTGCCCAGCGACAGCCCCAAAACATCACTGCTCTAGAGGAGATCTGCATGGAGGAATGGGCCAAAATACCAGCAACAGTGTGTGAAAACCTTGTGAAGACTTACAGAAAACGTTTGACCTGTGTCATTGCAAACAAAGGGTATATAACAAAGTATTGACAAACTTTTGTCATTGACCAAATACTTATTTTCCACCATAATTTGCAAATAAATTCATTATAAATCCTACAATGTGATTTTCTGGATTTTTTTTTCTCATTTTGTCTGTCATAGTTGACGTGTACCTATGATGAAAATTACAGGCCTCTCTCATCTTTTTAAGTGGGAGAACTTGCACAATTGGTGGCTGACTAAATACTTTCTTTCCCCACTGTATATACAATTTTTTTTTTTAATAGTACAACATTACTAAAATCATGCTTATGACTTGCAAACATATGTTTAACTTAGGCAAATAACTAAGTGTGGAAAGACATGCACCTCTACAGGAAGTATTTAGTGTACCTTCTCGTCCCTCTTAGCAGGCACTGCTAAATGCAATCTGTTGAGCACATCATGCACCTTCTTGCCCTTCATTTTGCCGTCGACACGATGGGCCAGAAGTTTGTCACAGGCCTGTAATTCAAGAAAATATTTGTACAATTTATTTTTAAAAACAAATTACGGAAGTCCAGAGAGGACATATGAATAAAAAAAATGATTCCCTCGTTATGTCGAGAACACAACTTATTTATCTCATGATTACTACATAACAAAAGTTGTTTTGTAGAGATCACGAGACAAACTCTAAATAGGAGTGGACGTATTAATGACCGACAGTATGGCTGAGGTGGCACAGCCCATAGCGGATTAGCGCATACGGTTTTATTGATTGCTACACCAGCGCATTGCAATCAACGCAGCCACAGGGCTCCTTGATGAAGTGGATATATCGTGCATCTGAACAAATGAATGGATGATGCGTGGTACTTTTGATTATCTCGTGATCTCGGCCAAACAACTTTTGTTGTGTAGTGATCATATAAGTCAATAAGTTGATTGACATAATGATGGAATCTTTTTTGTATTATTCATGTCATCTCCGGACTTCCGTACAAATAGAGAAAAACAAAACATAATACTTGTTACTAACAAATTGTTAGTAATCAGAAGAGTGGACTACACTGCTCACCTCTGTTTTCACCATCATCACTCCCTCCTCAGTCAAAGTGCTGGTTTCAATGACAGGGATGCCTTCTGCAGTAAGGTCAGCAAAGATTTTCTAAGGGAACAAAGCAGCAAACCCTGACAAGCAAGTCCCATCTTGGAAGAGGATGACAAAGTAAACTGGGGAAAGAAATAAAGCCAAAGTAAAGAGAGAGAATAGGTTACTAATAAGCATAAACAAAACTACGAACCTGGTCTTCCTCAGTGAGTTCACTTATCTTCTTGACATCACACTTGTTAGCCACAATGAGCAAAGGCTAGAGAAAGAAATACACTATTTAATAACACAAACTCTGCAAGGTTTAGACTTTTTTTTACATGCCTTGGCCTTTTCAGAGAAATAATGTAGCACAGAGCCTTGAGACAAAGGACACTGGACATTAAGAAAGCGGTCCATCCTAGCCTCATTTGCGACCCTGTGTCTTTTCTCTCCTTCCTTGGTGTACCCGTGCTCACATGCCTGCAAGAGCCAAGCCAGAGGCTTCACCCCCACAATTTTAGCAGGGTGCTTTAAAAGAAGGGAAAGGTTCTGACTTTGCCTGTTACTCACAAGCCACAACCATCGACCTTACAGCTACATTTAAAAAGATCCATGGTACTTTTATAAAAACATTTTTTTTTTTTTTTAATAACACCCTATTCACTATATAGTCACCTACTTTTGACCAGAGTCCTATGGACCCTGGTAAAAAGGAATGCACTATAAAGGGAGTAGTGTGTAATTTGTGATGCTGTCTTAAGACATCAATGGTGCCTCCATAACACATGACCTCTGACCTTGTTGGCAAAGAGGGGCCGTATGTTGTTGAAGAGCTCGAGCTGCTGCTCCAGGGTTTGGCCACACTGCTCGGAGACGTCCATCACGTAGAGCACGGCAGAACGCAGATGCGCCAGGGCTGTGATGGCCTGCATCTCAATGGTGTTCCTCTCCTCCAAAGGATGGTCCAAGATCCCTGGGGTGTCAACCACCTATGGCCAAATATGGAGTTAGGTACACACATGAAATGGTCCAGGTGTTACTCATATTCTACTACCCGTGATTGAAAGAGCAACTAACACTACATAGGGTACTTTATTGAAGGTTTCAGATATTGTGGTAGGGGGTTTCCCCCCACAATCTACACACAATACCCCATAATGACAAAGCAAAAACTGGTTTTTAGAAAATGTTGCACAAAAAAAAACATAAGTATTCAGACCCTTTACTCAGTACTTTGTTGAAGCACCTTTGGCAGCGATTACATCCTCGAGTCTTCTTGGGTATGACGCTACTAGCTCGGCACACCTGTATTTGGGGAGTTTATCCTATTCTTCTCTGCAGATCCTCTCAAGCTTTGTCAGGTTAGATGGGGAGCGTTGCTGCACAGCTATTTTCAGGTCTCTCCAGAGATGTTAAATCAGGTTCAAATCCGGGCTGGGCCACTCAAGGACATTCAGAGAGTTGTCCTGAAGCAACTCCTGCGTCGTCTTGGCTGTGTGCTTAGGGTCGTTGTCCTGTTGGAAGGTGAACCTTCGCCCCAGTCTGAGGTCCAGAGCGCTCTGGAGCAGGTTTTAATCAAGGATCTCTCTGTACTTTGCTCCGTTCATCTTTCCCTCAATACTGACTAGTCTCCCAGTCCCTGCCGCTGAAAAACATCCCCACAGCATGATGCTACCACCACCATGCTTCTCCGTAGGGATGGTGTCAGGTTTCATCCAGACGTGACGCTTGGCATTCAGGCCAAAGAGTTCAATCTTGGTTTCATCAGACCAGAGAATCTTGTTTCTCATGGTCTGATAGTCTTTATGTGCCTTTTGGCAAACTCCAAGCGGGCTGTCATGTGCCTTTTAC